TCTCTCCAGGGATGGTAGTTGAGGATCTGGATGTTCCTCTGTGCATGGAGCATGGAAGTCTTCATCAATAGCATTGGGCAGGATGCCTAAATCTTTTTGGTTTTAGGCTTTGGGGCTTTCTTTATTGGAAACCTCTAGTCTGGCTGATCAGTTTTGATCAGCAGGAGAGTTCCCTTTTCTTGACAAGTACAGGCCCTGAGCCATGGCAGGGGATTGTGAACAGTGCAGAACATGACTTTATATAAGGAAGTTGATCAGGATGAATTTAGGTGAGTGCTCCGTCACTTTGCCCCAGACTGGGCAGACGATCTCAACGTTAGAGTTCACTCTGGTGGTCTAGTAAGGCATAAGGGTGGGCTGTCGATTTCATAGAGAATACTTGACCTGCTGAGGTTTTGTTTTCACCCCAGAGTCCTCTGAAAAGACTTTCTTGACATTGTACACCTTGCAGTCTGAAACAGTAGGCTTACGCTGACCTTCACCCACAGCCCTTCCCTAGAGTGTGTGTGTGATGCCTTGAGTGGTGTTGCAACAGAGAAAGGTGGGTGCCCCTTCTGAAGGAGAGACCATTCAAGGACCTGCCTGGCTGTTGGCTGTGGCTAATGTTGGGATCCTTGGGAAAGGAGAAGTGCCAGTAGGCTTTGTTTTATGGTTCAAATCTCAAAAAAACCAAAAACAAAAAACAAACCCTCGCCAAGCAGAACTTAGTTGTACACCCAGTTGTACACTTAGTTGTCCATGGAACCCCAAGTTAGAGCCCACTCAAGCTATGTAAATCTGAGGCCTGGAATGCTTTTCATGCAGCACAGACTCAATGACCTATTGCTTAGGTCCCCTGTTCACAGTCAGTCTGCACATGCACCCACACGCATACAGAGGTCATACATTGCAGCTTCCCAATCATGAGGGAAAAATCTATGTGAAACTCAGACAGATGAGACCACTGAGGAGTGAGCAGTTCCTCCTTCCTCCACACCATGGATGGCAGCCAAACGGGTAACTTCGGGAATCCCTGGGGCGACTCTACCTTATTCAGAGGCACAAACTGGTGATATTCTGCCTTCTCCTACAGGTCCAGGGAGGTCTCTGCTGTCACACAGGGGCTTCTGCTCCTTGCCCGCTGGGAGTTGCTGAGAAAAGAGCTGAAGGGCGCATCTTCTCATCTGCAGGTGGGAGGGGGTGAGCCCTGTCACGACAGCAGGTCGCTACTGCTGACCCAAAAGGGTCAGTGCAGTGTTTTTCAGCCAAGGAGCCAAGCATCTTGCAAAAAAATCTGGGCTGAAAGCTAAATGCTCCACACAGAGAACTTTGAAAGACAATACTTTGGCATGCTAGAGGGCTGCTGAGAACCACTTCCAAATCACCCACCCGTAGTCAGCTTAGAGAGTAGTTTATAAGTACTGTGAAAGCAGGATTACGAGGCTGATGGAAGATTATTGTGTGACTCATCACATGAATTCAGTCACATAATGTCAAGCAGGCTCACTATGTGGTAGGCAGCAGGCGCATAGGCACAGGTCAATAATTGGTGTTTACACTTCTGCTATAAAATGTCTATCAGTTTGCTATTGTCTAATTTTTCCTTTACACCTGGGTATTCACATACATTTTTACATGAATCACAGAGTGATTCTGTGCAGTCACAGTAATATAAACTCGTAGAGTGGTACCAGTGTCACCTCTGCCTTTCCACTGCAAAGCTGAAGCGAGCCACCTCTCAGGACTTCTTTCCAGCAGCTCCAAGGCTGAGTCTGGCGCTGCCCTGATTCTTGGGTTAGGAAATCTCTTCCCTCCGCAGGCTCCATGCTGTGCTCCTCAGGCAGGCTCAGAGGCATGTGCGGGCCCCTGAGGCAGGGTGGTGCTCACGCTCCACTTGGGGTCCTCAGGGCTGTGCAGCTGCACTCACACGCTGGCTGGGGAATCTGCAGTAGATGGCAGCGGCTGGCATGGAAGCGCTCAGCTCCTTCCTCTCAGGCCGGATCTGAAGACACCACGGGGAGTGTGGTGCACTTGCTGGGGTCCACAGTCCTGCCCCTGCTCAGGGTGAGGGTGGGATTCCTCTGACATCGGTGAGGGTTCCCCTTTCTTCTTGTTGATTTCTATGACCAGACTTTAAAATCAGCATGAAACTATAAAATCTATAGTGAGATTTTAATAACAGAATTGAAAATGTAGCTGGATTTCATCTTTTCTCCTGAAAACAAAAATATTACTAATATAGGACGGGAATTTAGCTCAGCAGCATAAGAGCCTGCATGCAAAGTGCAAGGTCATGAATTTGATTCTTGTTCATAAAGTAAAATTACAAATAAACACCTGTATTTCTTCTGTCTCTTCCAGCTCAAAGATATAAGCTTTCTTTCCATTGAAGACAGGGCCTCCTGTGTACTTCTGCCTGGCCTCGAAGTGCCGATGATTATCCTGCCTCAGCCTCCCAAGGTCTCAGATTATAGGCGTGAGCCACCATGCCCACTCTACCCAATATCTTCTTACACTTAAGTGCTCTGTGAGAGGGGCGCTCAGAATACGTCCTCGGAAGCACATTGTTAGGAGTAAAAGCACAGAGTACAGAGCTGCATGCCTGTCTGTAAAGCTGCTTGGAAGGCTGAAGCAGGAAGATTGAAAGTTCCAGGCCAGATGAGGTAACTTACTAAGACAGTGTTTCAGGAGAGAATTTAAAATCCTGGGATGTAGCTCAGTGATAAAACACCTGCCTAGCAAGGATAAGGCCCTGGGTTCAAATCCCTAGGGCTGCAAAAGTAATAAACACAAATCAGGTCCAGGACTGTAGCTCAGTGGCACGGCACCTCCATGGCAAGTGCTAGGCCCTGAGTTCCTTTTCTGGTACCGGAAAAAAGAAAAAAGCAACCAAAAAAGTCAGCACATATCTTTGTCAGTTTTTTCCCACTGAGGGTGCTCTGGTAAGTGACAGTGGGTGTGTTCGGGGCAGGGGTGCTCCTCCTTCCAGATCTCAGCATCCTGTACAAAGAATCGCACAGCACACACCGAAAAGGTGGCAAGAGCGCACATTTACTGCAGGTGGAAAAGGAACCGCTGGGAAAGCTAGGTGTGCTGGCACACACCTGTAATGCAGCACCGTGGAGGCTGCGGCCAGAGGGGCACAGCGGCCAGCGCGGGCTCCATCCTGAGTCGCTCATCGGGATCCGAAATTCCTGGATCAGCTTCTGCGTCATGCAAGTAAGATACACAGACATTTGTCCCATCAAAAATTCGCCTGTTCTGCCACCAAATTGAAACCATACTGTGGAAGGCCTCTCCTGGCTCCAGCCAGATGCAAATGAGGACTGAAAATACCGCTTTCTGATTGGCTCCAGGTTCAGGGCTCAGGAGAGGGCGGGGCCTGGGTCCTGTGTTCTGTGCATGTCCTCTGGGTTCTTAGGACTTTCCAGGGGTTCTTCCTGGGGTGTGCCCCTGCCCTACTCTCCTGCCTCAGTGGCCCCAGCAGTGCACTGGAGCCTCTCCTCAGGCATGGGAGTCTCTGCCGATTCCACGGGTGAACAATGCTACCTTAGATAGTCTTCATCCGGGTCCTCACCCCTCCCCTCCTCTTTTCCTTTCCTTCTCCTGTCCTGGGCATCAGGTCCAGGCCCTCAGCCACGCCACGCGTGCCCCCTACTGCAGCCTGGGGAGGTTTCCATCACAAGTGAGGCTGAGCACTTTCTATAAAGGGTAGGGGCAGCTGTCTGACTTTCCCTAGAATTATCTGCTCTTTTGTGCCTTGAAAACAAATTGGGACTTTGGTCTTTTTCTTTATCATTTAAAAGTTCTATGTATATTAAGGAGACAAACATCGTGACTATGATGTAAACTTTAAACATCTTCTCTGAGATTCTCCCAACATTTATTTCGCTACAGCCTGGTGCTTTTCTATAATGGAACTAAAACCAGAGGGAGCAGTCTGAGCTGCGTTCTGAGCCCATTTGTGTATTTAATGTTACTTTTTGTCTTTGAGGTAGGGTCTCACTATGCAGATCAGAATGGCCTTGCACTCACTATGGAGCCCTGCTGGCCTCCAGCTGGAAGTGAGTCTCCCACCTCAGCCTGCCAAGTCCAGGGATTACAGTCGGGTGCCACCATGCCTGCCCACTAGCTCTTTTAAAATTTAATTTAATTTAGATTTTGCAGCAGGATCTTGCTAAGTCCCTGAAGTTCCCAGTCTTGCATAGTGCTGGAATGGTGGGTATGCACTATCACACTGTACTGAATCATGGTTTCTTAAGAAATTTCTAAAATAGTTTCTGATTTATATGATACATTTTATCATATTATTCTTGGATTTCTCTAGCTCTTTCTTTCTTTCTTTCTTTTTTTTTTTTTTTTAAGCTAGGGACTTGCTGTGTAATTGAGGCTGGCCTTGAACTCATAACGTATCATGTCTGGCCTCAAACTTCTGGCACTGCTCCTGCTTCAGCCTCCCCAGGGCCATGATGACACCTGTGCACCGCCAGGACCAGCTCATCCAGCATTTTATTATGAACCGTTGCAAAGCTACAGAAAAACCAAAGAAATTACACAGTGGCCACCTAAGCTCTTCTACCGACACCGCCCATCCTGCTGTCCCCATCACTCATCCATCTGCCTTTCCAGTGCCTGTCAAAGTCCCCGCAGGGAGAGTGCACTCTCCAGCTAACTCAGCCTGCACTGTGGACCCTTATTAGTGGCTTTTTTGTGGTTGCTTTAAATCTTCAATATTTAGGTTGTTCCCACTCCCAAGATGGAAGGCAAGCAGGGCATGGTGGTGCCCACCTGTAATCCCAGCACTCAGAAGGCTCAGCAGGAGGGTCAGCGTGAGGTGGAGGCCAGCCTGGGCTCCACAGCCGGCCCTGTCTCAGAAACCAAAAATCCCAGACTGAAAGCTCAGAAGATGGAAAAGAACTGGCCCCTGAATTCCAGCCGTTCCATGTCCCTATTTTCCTGGGGAGGGCAGATTCATTTGAAGTTTATGGTGTGCACGATGGAAGGAAGGAAGGAAAACAGTGTTTACATAGATTGAGGGGCTCCATCCTACAAGTATTTTATTATGACAGCCACGTAAGAGTCAACCCTTTGGAAACATCTTCACTAAGTAGACTGAGGTTTAAGGGAAGGGAGGTTGGACTTGCTTCCTGCAGACAGAAGACTGACTCCTTGTCGACTGTGCAGAAACCACCTAAGCAGACCAAAAGGCAGCAGGAAGCTCTGTAAAGGAGAGAAGCAGAGTCAGCTCAGCCTCCCTTGCGCCTCCCAATCAGGCCGGAGCAGGGAGTGCCCGCCCAGGAGGCACCTGTACTGCGTGCCCCAAGCAGCCAGATACGTGGGAGGAGAGGCCCAGCGTGTCCAGCGCCTCTCGGGCGAACTCGTCGGCGTCCTTCACAAGCAGCCCGGTTGGCAGGTTGTGGGTCATATTTGTGGAGACCAACATGGGGCTCACGGTCTGAAGCACAGGAGGGAGGGGGTCTGAGAAACAATGCTGGCCCTCTTTCTGGAGATCCAGCCACCAGCCCAGTCTGGGTGGGTCTGCAAGACCCCTAAACCTATTTTGCTGACAGATGGGGACCTGCCCTACACCCTGCCCCAAGAGCCAGGCCCCACGCTAAGGCCTAGATCCTGCTCCAGACCTAGACCTGACCTAAAGTCTGGACTCCGCCCCATGAGGCTTAGACCACGCCCCTGAAGTTCTGACCACGCCCAAAGGAAACAAGCCCCGCCCTTGATACCTGGAAAGGGCCTTGTTCATTCCCAGCTCTCCCTGAGAGTGAGACCACAAATGTGTGACCACAACCCCACAGTTCCCACCAGCCCATGGAACCCCAGGGGACAGATCCCTCTGACCCTGCTTCCTCTGCCCTCTCCTCCACAGCTGCTACCCCAGCCCGATCCTTGGAGCCTCCTCTGGCTCCTGTCCAAACCTGGATGGTGATACCCTGAGGAAGGTACTCTTCACACACCGCCTCCGAGAAGAATCACACAAAGGCCTGTGGGGCAAGGAGAGGAGGACCCAGGAGCACCTGCCTACGCCTGGGGGGGCACCCCACTCCGTGTCCCAACCCCACCCAGATTCCACTACAATCTCCCTGCCAGGACACAGGGGGACACATTTGGGGCCTGGGCTTCTGTTACCTTAGTGGCTGAGTATAAGGCCCGAAGTGGGATGCCTCTTCTGCAGCCAGCCTGGGACGACACATTGATGATGACACCTTTGCCCCTGGAGCAGGGAATGGCACTGGAAGGGGTCACTGCCCCGGGGGAGAAGGGGCGGGGTGACTGCCCCTCCCTTGGCAGGAGCCCTACTCTCAAAGGGTTGGGAGACGGGAGACTGGCACCTGGCATGGTGCTGCATGCCCATAATCCCAGCAGCCCTGAGGCTGAGTCAGGAGGGTGAAGAGCCCCAAGTCAGCCTGGACTGAAGACTTGGAAACGGGGAGGGTCGGGAATGGGCAGCCTGGAGGCGGGGGCTGGGGAATCCAGCATGACCACAGCAAGCGGCTCTCACCTGCTGACCATCTGGGGCAGGACGATGCAAACCATCTGCGGGGCAGAGGAGGCCCCTGTGTTTCCCTAGACCTCCTCACCCAGGCGCTGTCCCAGTCCCCTCAGGGGCTGACCAGGGCACCCGCGCCCCCAGGGTGGTGGCAGCTGCACTGTCCCTGGACATGGCCCTCATGGCCCGACTGACCTGTGCCACCGACATCGCGTTGCAGTTGATGATATCTGATACACTCTGGGGATGAACACGGAGCCCGTCACCGCCTGCTTCCCAAGCCCCCACACCTCCCACGTGTCCTGTCTTCCTAGCTTAATCTTTCTTTTTCTTTTTTCTCACTTCTTTATTTCTTTCTTTTTTTGCTTCCTTCCTTCCTTCTTTTTGGCACAAGGTGTCGCTGTGTAGGCCCGATTGGCCTCAGACTGACTGTGTAGCCCAGGTTCCCTTCAACTTGTCCTGATCCTCCTGCCTCAGCCTTCCCACTACTAGGATTACAGGCCTGTGCCACCACACCCAGCTGTTTTTCTCATTTTTAAAATTTAGAACACACTTTTTGGGCTTGGTTATTAGTTTTGCTTTTTTCTGCTGTGGATTATATTTCATTTTTTTCTCATCACTTGTAGTTCAAGGATAAAAAGAAAGAAAGAAGAAAAGTGCAATAAAATTTCAAAGCACGTCAATCAGGGGCAGCAACGGTACATGCACTGTACGTTCACCCAGAGCACAGCACATCTGCATTCAGTGGTCCGAGCTATATCGGCACAATCTTCCTCTGCAGTGAACTCAGAGAAACCCGACCTCTAACTGTGTCCACAGAGATATGTCCACCTGCACACATGCGTGTGTTCTGTTTAAGCTTCTCACACTCTCACATGTGTGTCTTATTTCTTTCACTAACAGAACACGTTTTCTAAAAACACAGTCCCCAGTAGAATCTGAAAAGCTCCCGTCCTTGGACCTCTCAGCTCCTCTTGTAGAAACGCGCTGCTGTCTGAGATTCTGACACACGCGGATGCTCAAAGCTATTGGATCCCAGGCCGGCGAGGTGCTACCTCCCTATGACTCTAACAACTTGGGAGGCCGAGGCAGAAGGATCACAAGTTCAAGGCCACCCTGAGCAGCATAGTTTTCATTTTAGTGAGAACTTGTCTCAAACTAAACAGGGCTCAGGAGTAGAGCGCTCCTGGATTCAGTCTGCTGAACTAAAATAATCAGTATAGTACACACACAGCAAAGTGCACACACCTTTACTATGGAAACTGAAGAGACCCCAACTGTGCTGGTGCACACCTGTAATCTCAGCTGTTGTGAGGCTGAGGCAGGAGGATCCCCCATGAATTCAAGACCAGCCTGTACTACACAGTGAGAGTCTGGTTCAAACAACCAAAAAAAAAAAAAAAAAAAAAAAAACCAACATAAGAAGAGAAACAGAGAGATTGACAAAGAGAAGGAGATGGAGAAGCAAAATCAGAACAAGGTGCGGAGAAGGAGAAGAGAGAGACAACGCTCTTTCTGGGCTCCAGTGTGTGTCATAGAACTTTTCTTTTAATAAATTCTTCCTACTTTTAGGACAGAAAGAAAGACGCGCAGATGATGGGGACCCCTTGCTTCTCCACCGAACCACTTCCCCAGGTGACAGTGTCCTGACCCCGGGAGGGCTGTGATCTCACCTTTTCACCATGAGGACTTCCTGGTTTAGCATTTGTGAGGCTTGTCCCCACGTGTCTCGGTGACAGGGCCCCGGGATTCACTGCTGGGATTTTCCACCATGTGAATTCAGTGCACTTTATTACCCAGTCAGCATAGGTGGGCACTGAGCTGTTCCCATGCTGGCACGGCCAAGCATAACTTACCCGGCTCACGCTCAGGGCTGCTGGAGGACGCGAGCCCTCGTGTACAACGCAAGGGAAAGGAAGGGCCAGATGGGAGCCTGTTGCAGTGTGTGTGTGTGTGTGTGTGTGTGTGCGTGCATGTGTGGGGTGTGTGCCTGTGTCACTGGGGATTCAACTCAGGGCCTTCTCACTGACCTGCAGTACCAGCCTTTTGGATGTTGTTTTTATTTTTGATTTTGTTAGGGAAAGTGTTCTCAGTATTTTACTAAGGTCCTCTATGTCATCCCAAACTTGAAATACTCCTACTTGGGATTTCAGGGTGCTACAATTCCAGGCATGGGCCACTTTAGCCAAATAAAATTAACAACTTTGCCCAGGAATGGTGGCACACATCCATTATTTCAGCCCTCAACAGGCTGAAGCAGGAGGATGACCTTAAGTTCAAGACCAGCCTGGGCTACACAGGAAGACTCTGTCTCAAGAAAAACCACCTAGACATCTTTATACATTAAAGGATAGTACCAACAGAGAGAAAGGTAATCCCAGTGGTAGAAAAATATTTTAAATCGCGAATCTCATAAAGGAATGAAGTCCTAGATATATAAATAACTCTCCAGTAACTCCAAACCACCAGTGAGTCACACGAGAAATCACACAGAAATGAGAAGACACTTAGAGAACCACAAAAATGAAATGAAATAGAACAAAAACCACACAGCATGGCAAAACTTACTGGACTCAGCAAAACTGTGCCGGGGAGGAAATGTATGTGGGGGAGAAAGGGCTAAAACCAACAGTCTAGAACCAGGGCAGGTAGAAAGAGAAATGAAACCTGCAGCTAACACCAAGTCAGGAAAACAACCCGGAAACTGGGAAACTAACAGACATGCGATGACACACAAAGAAAAGACTGAAGTTACTCAAGTCAGAAATAAAAGTGAACAGGCCAGGTGTGGGGGTCAGGCCCCTAATCCCGGCACCTGGGAGGCTGAGGCAGGAGGATCACTGTGAGTTTGAGGCCACTCTGAGCTGTCTGTCTGTCTGCCTGTCGGTCTGTCTCACTTTTTCTCTGTCTCCTATTCCCTCCCATCTCTCCTCTCACCCCTTTTAGAGAATCCACATTATCCTGTGTGGCTCCTTCTGTACAGTGGGCATCCACGAATATGAAAGGTGAGAACCAGGCTCAGGTCCTACAGTTGTGCAGGTTGAGCACTGCAAAAGGTCCCCTCATTCAATCACAGACCTTGTGTTTGCTGTAAACAATTTTCCAGCCAAAGGCAATGGAGCAGCCTGGCACTGGCCCTGGGGACGCCGGTGTGTTCTGCGTCCCGTCCAGCAGATGGCAGCAGAGCGCCGCAGCAGCCCGGACTCACCTGGCCCAGGTCCTCAAGGTCCAGCAGCTTCCTAAAGACTCCTCCACGGCCTCCATATGCCATGCCCACATTGTTCACTGCAAGAGAGTTGGCACGGTGTCCCTCACAGCCCCGGGGACACGGAGGGGGTCACAGGAGGGCGCCCGGTGTGCTCCAAGTGAGCGAAGCAGGCTGGCAACTCACCCAGGACTCCGATCTCCAGGCCCCGCAGGCCTGCCTCGATGGCACCGTAGATCTCCAAGCCCCCAGTGAAGTCGGCCTGGATGATGCGCGTGGACCTGCCATGCAGGCGCTCTGGAGGACGGGAGGGGTCAGGCCCTGCCCCTGCCCCTGCCCCTGTCCCTTATCCACCCCTGTGCACCCAGCAGCAGACTCGGGATATCAGGGGCACCCTTGACCCCAGACCAGCGAGCCCAGAGCTTCCCCGTGGCTGGGCGCTCACCAATCTCCCTGGCCTCCTGCTCCAACTTGCTGAGGCTTCTACTGATGAGGACGATGTCCAGGCCTCTCCTGGCCAGCTGCGGAAATTCAGTCACTTACTCAGCCCTGCACCCCTCCAGCCCTGCACCAGGAGCTGGGGTGAACCCAGGGCCTTCACACTTAGTTCAACTGTCAACCCTTTTTATTTCTTCAAACACAGGCCCTTCAGTCATCAAGACTTGGTTTTAGCTTGTTATCCTCCTGCCTCGACCTCCCAGAATGCAGGGACACCAGGTATGGCCAGTGACTCTGGCCTGCGATTCACATTGATTCATTCACTCAACCAATAACGATTACCTTTGTCCTGGCCTTGGTACTCAGTGTTAGAGCCCTGAGGTCGCAGAGCTGGACAGAGGACAAGAGCAGTGGGGACGGGGAGAAAGATCCAGGGAGGGCAGCTCTGTGCACAGTGATCAGAATGAGATGATGTCTCTATAGGAGGTCGAGGGCCCCAGGGTCCCAGGCAGGCTCTGCCTCTCACCACTTGGCTGCCTGACCCTGTCTTTATTCTCCCTCACTCCTGTGTGCCTAGCGAGCACCTGCTCCCTGCTGCGGGACTGGGGACTCATGGTGCTTGGGGTACCCCGAGCTCAGCCCCTGCCACACACTCTTCACTGCAAGGTTTCTCTGCAATGCACAAACCCAACCCTGCCCCTCTGCAGCTCAGAACCTGCCCTGGCTCCCCAGGGACACTGCCACAAACCCACAAACCTCTTTTTCATGGCTGGACCTCCTGCCATGTCTTTCTGTGAGAGGCCAGGCACAGCCCTGAGTCCTGGGGTCCCAGCCAGCAGCCCCTGCCTTTTCTGCTCCTGGGCCTTTGCACCTTCTGTTCCTTCTGCCCTGAATCCCCATCCCCTACATGCTGAGCTAGAAAACACACGTGATTGGGAGGGGGTGTGCAGCAGCATCTCAGGGCCTGACTGTCCCTCTCAGCCTGGACGTTAAGGGTGACAAGTGATGGGACTGACTGTCCCTCAGCTGTGAATGAGACTCTGCCCAGGCGTCTCAAGAGCTCCATGGATCTGAGAGGCTGATGCTGTTTGTCCTCCCTGGACACCACGTCCCTCTGTCCAGGTTGTTCCCCTCAGCACAGGAACCTAAACTTGTCTTCTTGTCACTCAAAACCCCAAGAAGAGGGCCTTTGTGCTGACTCTTATCTAATAGGTCCTTACCACTCAGACTAGTCGGCACATAGTCAGCAGTTTCCACATTCAGAGACTGCTACAGCCATGGTCCAGGGGAGCCCGGCCACTGCTCACAGCAGACTGTGGCATCGTCCATGTTGTGCTCATTTTAGGTGCGTGCTGAAGGAGTTGTGAGGTCAGCCACACTTTCACTGAGATTTCAGAGGAAAGCCTGGGAGGCCGGGCTGCGAGCCCTACATGTGCAGAGCATGAAGCTATAAGGATGAAGCCCGGATCCAGGGAGTGGGGCACCGCCTATGAATGTGGCACAGGAATGCAGGACATGTTCCAAGGACAGATGTAGACCCTGAGCAGGATCCAGCCTGAGAGAGACGCTGTGTGGGTGGCAGCACACTAAGCCCTAGGCTGGGGCTGCCCTCAGCCCTCAAACTCACATCTCAGAACCAGGAACCCAGACATCGTCTATAGAGCTGCAGGACTTAAGCGTTGCCTTCGGGGACTTGGTCACTTTTTGTTCTGATTTTTTTTTTCAGAAGCCTCTTCTGCTGCCAAGCGGGAATGGGAAGCTTTACCTTGAGACTCTGCACTGGGAGATTACGTAACCTACTGCTGACTTTTACCTTCACTCACTGCTTGAGGCTCAGTTTTGGTGCTGTCCTTGCTGGAGATGAGACCTGGCTAGCAGTTCAGCCTGGACTTCAAGTCAGGACATAGCCAGGCTGGTCTGGAATTCCCAGTGGTACTCTAGACTCAGCTTCCCAGTGCTGGGGTCCTAGGCACGGCCAGGCTGTCCAGTTTTCAGCAGGCACCTTCGACTGGCACTTCTAGGGAACACGGGGACGGCTGAAACTGTGGGGAGGGGCCACTGTGCTCTGGCTGCACACGGCATAGTCGCCTGTGTTAGGTGAAATTACTAATTTAGGGCTGGGTTACTTGCAGACAAGTATGCTTTAAGGACATGAATTTGGGTGTCAAGCGGACAAGAGGTAAAGTGTGGGTTGTGAAGGTTAATGAAGTCACCTTGACTGTCCTGGGAGCCATGTGAGGCACCTGTGTGGCACACTCCTGGGTGTGTCTGCACGGCCACCCAGGTGTGACTCTGCCCCGTATCCGTCCCTGGCCCCTTGCTCTCTGGTGGGTGCTGTCCCCGTGCTGCTCTTCCCAGCCTATGTGAACTAAGCAGCTTTGCTCTCCCAGGCCCTCCCACCACGCTGTCCCTGCTTTGGGGCCAGGCAGTCATGCACTGACTCACAGGAAACCAGGAGCCAGCTGGGTACAGTGGTGCCCTCCTGACATCTCTGCACTCAGGTGGCTGAGGCAGGAGGCTCACCACGAGGCCATGTTGGTTACACTGTACATTCAAGGCCAACATGGCATGCATAAAGAAGCCCCGTCTCAAAATAGAAATGAGCAAGAAATGAGAAAACTGAAATCGTAAGTCAAAAAAATCTCTCCTCCTCTCAGCTCTAGGTGTCAGGAACGTTGTCCATCAGTGACAGCGCTGACTAATACCGTCATGGGAGAGGAGCCATTAAGATCATTATGTTAGGTGAGGTCAGCCAGGCACAGAAAATCCAACACTGCAGGATCTCAGTTCAGTGCGGAGCTGAGCTTCTGGCCGTGGGGAGAGGAGAGTGGTTAATCGGGGCTGAGGCTGAGGAGAGAAGGGGACGTGTTGGGCAGCAGACATAAAGCTTCCATGAGGAGGAATAAATTCTCCAGTTTATTTTAGTAACAGTGTGCTGCATTCTTGAGAGGAAGGGAGGTTAACTCTGGTCATCACACTGAGACAGAGACAGACAGGAATCCATCAATGTCATTTACTAAGGAAAACTATCCCAATCACCTCATGAGATGCAGAAAGTTGAGTTCACAAAAATCTACCTGCATCCCTAAAGATAACCCTCAGGAAGCCAGTACAGAGGACCCTCCCTAAGGAAAAGCCCCTACCAAACGAACCAGTCACAGAAGAAACTAATCTCCTGCTGACTTTTTAAAGCCATGCAACATAGCCATTCTTACAGCCTCTCCAATAGCATATTGGGTTCCCTGTCAGTTCAAGAAGGCAAGAAAAAGAAAGAGAGAGATCAGACATAGAAGAGAGGGTGGGCATAGGGATCCATGCTTGGAATCCAAGGACTAGGAGGCTGACACAGGAGCATCGCTGTGCATTGGAGCATCCTGGGCCAAACAGTGAGCTCAAGGCCCACTTGAAATACATAGCAAGACCCTGTGTCAAAAACAGACAACACATCAAAACAAAACAAAATAGAACGAACAACAAAAAATAAGAGCTAACCCTGCTCAAGGTGCTGGTGCTTTTCTGTAACACCAGCAATCAGGGTACTGAGGAAGGAGGATCTCTGAGAGTTCCAGACCATCTTGGGGTACACAGTGAGTTTAAGGTTGGCCTGAGCTACACAGTGACTCAAAAAAAAAAAAAAAGAAGATAAAAAAAAAACTGAATGAAAATAAACAAACACTGTTAAAAGACGAGAAGGAAGGCTTACAGATAAATATGAACAAATTATAGAGAAATGATTCCATTTGTAAAAATGCCTTCCCCAGAGTGCCCCCCTGGCTGCCAGTACACTCACCCCAGCCTTCCCGCTGCTCTCTGAAGAGCCCTGGAGGTCCTCTCTCATGGCTCTCAGAGTGTGAGGAGGAATACAGTGACTGCCCCTCTGGGTGCCATCCAGGGGAAAGGCAGACTCGGGGAGCCCTTGCCCTGCTGCCTCACCCACCCCATTCACTGGATCTGCCACCGTGGAACTCCTGGCTTCCCCCCAGTCACCATCACCAAATGCTCACCCTTCTGAGCTGCTTCAGCACACGGAGGCAGCCAGGACAGCACAGCTAACGCCACTCACAAAAGAGGACTCAGGCCTGCTTCACAAGCCTGAGAATGATGGGATCCGTCCTCTTTCCTGAGTGTCTCCTTCACCCTGACCACCACCTCTCACTCCATGTGCCGGACCTTGCTTATGCCCCTCTGCCCTGGCTGGAGGATAAGCTCCACGAGGGCAGGACTTTCACCCTTTCAAAAACTCTCTTGTGCTCACTGCTGCATCCCCAGGCCCAGGAAGATGCCTGGCACAGAGTAGGTGGTCAAGAAACAGGATTTGAAGAAATGAACCAGGCAATAATGAGAGGGATGAGAGGGTGAGGGGGCACCTAGCTCTCCCCAGGGGGCTGGTGACAGGGAAATCAGCACGGAAGCCACCACCCCACTCACCTCGTGTGCGTAGGCCTTGCCAATGCCGCTGGTGGCTCCAGTCACCACTAGGAGAGAGAAGAGGGGGCAGGGGGTGGGAAGCTTCCCCGCTGTGGGTCCTGTCGGGGTCCCCTGACCCATCCTCAATCCCCTGAGGTTCCTACTGGACTGGCTGCCTCTGCTCCACCCAGAGCCCCCTCTGCTCGTGCTCATCACCCTTGCTGATCCCTGCGGTCTGCACATGGCCCCAGCCACTGCTGTTGTTTTCCAGACAGGGCCTCCCTATGCAGCCTGGCTGGCCTCAGTCTGTCCTTGAGCTCCTGCCTCAGCCTCCCCTGGCTGGACACCCGACTTGGCGCATGTAGCTGTGCTGCACACGGGTGACCAGAGGCGTCCTCCCATGTCCTGTCCATCACCTGGCTCCTCTCTGCCACCTGCTCCTCTCACCTGGACCGCGCTGGAGACTTTGTGCCTTCCTTGCCCTGCTAGCACCAGCCTCTTGCTCTCTTGCTTCCATGAGTCCCTTGGCCGCTGTGTGCATTGGGACGAGGGGTTCCCAAGGGTCACCTGCCACCTGTCCTCTACCTTGCAGTCCCCGCCCGCACCTTCTTGGGAGACCCGGGTCCCTTACCTGCCCAGGCTCCCTGTGCCCGGAGCCAAGCATTGCCCCTCCGGACCTGGGGCAGCAGGTACACGTATACAGCGCGGGCCACTCCCCAGGTCCCCGTCAGCAGCAACCCTGCAGCCGTGATGGCCCCCAGAGCGCTCAGCACGTCCCACTTGGACTCCATTTGAGCTCCTGCTCTGCAGCCTGGGACCTGCCGGGTAGGGTTGCTGGGTGCCAAGGTCAGCTATTGAGGATCTACTGGGCCTATGAGCTGGCAGTACAGGACACCCCTCCTTCTGCCCCCAGAGCTACCAAAAGTTATCAAAGTCCACCAGCCTTGGCTCCACCAACTGAGGTTGTGGCTGGGGACAGGAGCTGCATCTGGAGGCTTCTCTGACTTTCTGAAGCTGTCTCCTCAATCCCCTACCAGCCTGCCTGCTCTGAGCCCCTGATCTGGTGTTATTTTTTGTTTGGGTTTTGTGCTGTCTTCACACTGGGTCTCCCGGCACAGTTCAAGCTGGCAGTCTCAGTTACTTCTCTTATTGCTGAGACAAAGTACCCAGCACCCAAATGGAAGCAGGAAAGCTTTATTGGCTGACACCTGGGGGCTGTTTCACCCCATGACCTGACGGCCCAAAGGCAGGTGGCACAGAGGGGGGCACCGCAGAGAAGAGATGGTGCAAGGGAAGAAAAGGACAGCAAAATGCAAGGGACAGTGGCGGTCAGTCATCACACACAGGCGCCCTCTTTCTGCCTGGCATATTGTGTCCAGGCTGCCAAGGCCAGCAGCGCTCACATCTAAGGAGGGGCAAGCTCACTCCTACCCAGAACCATGCCGAGCCCCTCAGTGGACTGGTTTGTATTCACAGACACTTGATCCCAGCATCACAAAATCAAGACCCGGTCACCTTTGAAAAGTCCCATCTGTGACTTGCTTGAGGTTTTGGGGAAACACTGAGACACAAGCTGTAATACGGTCCTTAAATTCACTATGCAGCTCAGATTGACCTCAAATGCCTGACAATCCTCCTGCCTCGGCCTCCTAAGGGCTGGGATTACAGGCCTTCTCTCTTGCTTCCATGAGTCCCTTGGCCGCTGTGTGATTGGAAGGAGGGGTTCCCAAGGTCACCACGCCCAGTCAGACCTTCCTTTCCTACCATCCTTGGGAGTGGCCAAGGATGAATCATGAAGGCCCCCCTCTACACCCGCTTTGGGGCCACCTCTGTGCCCTTAGTATAAATTTATTCTGAGGTTTACAAAGTGACTTTGATTCTTTCCATAAGAAGTTTTTTCTTGGACTGAGCTGCTAGTGGAGTGAAAAGATCCTATTTGTCTCTGGTCAGTGGCTTTGATGTGGAAAACCTTCCATAGCTGCAAAGATTTGAGAGCTCTCACCCTAAACAAGTCTCTCTGGTGCAGTGGGAAGATTGTACGGGAAGAGCACACAGCACCCGGGGCAGAGAGGAAGCGTGCGATGGTGCGCACCTGTAATCCTAGCCAGTCAGAAGCTGAGGCCGGAGAACTGCAAGTCAATGTCCATCCGGGCAATTTAGTAAGGTCCGATTTCAAAATGAAATTTAAACAGACTGAGGACATAGTTCAGTACTCCCTGTGTCAAACCCCTTGTAATGGGAAAATAAAAAACTAAAAAGAAGTGGACCTGGAACCCAGCTCCTTACAGTGAGGTAAGCTACCCAGAAAGTGACAATATTTATTTGGCAGCGACTTTTAAACGGAGCAGCCCAGGAGGTGGTGCTGGCACACGTGTGTAATCCCAGAACTTGAGAATTTGAGGCAGGAGAATTCCCGCGAGTTTAAGCCTGACCTGAGCCACACAGTGAGTGTGAAACTTAGCTGAACTACATAGAAAGACTCTGCCTCAGTCTGTGGGAGGGCGGCTCAACCTGCAGACCCATGGTGACTACTGGTGACAAATTAACTTCACACGGTTATGGTACAAAACGTATTGTGGACACTCCTTATGTGACATCTACAGTGACAACTACTGCGGTCAACTAAACTCACCCATCCAAAATGCCGGACTACTGAGAGCTGTCTCTAAACTGTGTCTGAACAGCTCCTGAGACCACACTGATGTGTGGGCCCTTAAGGCAGCAGGCTGCTGACTCATCCAACATCAGCTCAGGACAGCAGACATGGGAGCTGGGGTGCTGGTTACCTTTCCATGTGCATCACTCCCACCCCAGTTAACCATGTGGGTTCCTAAGGGGAGGCCCAACACCTTCCCATGGCGCCTTTCATAGGAATCTGGATGCAGGTATCACTAGTCTCCCAGGCCGCCTGCAGATCCAACTTCCTCAGTTACACATGGAAGCTCAGACCTCACCTTAAGTCACCTTAATGGCAGCACCCACTAGCTGAGCTTCAGACCTGGTCCTCCGGCATCAGCCTTCATCACAGGGTCCTTCCTATGACAGGAGCTGTTGCATTTTCTTACATCCAGCGAGGTTATCTTTACGTGGAAAGGGGTGATGGGCTGTCCAAACCTGTGTGAGGTTTGAAAGAAGCCATGGGTCCTGTCTCCATCCGCCTACCTGGACTTTTATCCAGCAACCTGATGACTGCTCTAAGAGGAGGCTCTGGAATAGTGTGTTATAAGGGGTCCAAGTTCCCTTTCAGTAATTTGGACTAAGCAGAGGGAGTCCACAGGCCATTTTGGATCTGCTTCAGTCTAGGACACAATCTCATTTGGGACAAAACATAGAGGAGAAAGTGGGTTTGCACTGTGTTTGGTTTGTCCCGTTCTAGACACACATGGTTTGACTGGAACTGTGTTCTTCTTCCCAATTTAATCCTCTGCATCCTGAGGAATAGAGACAGTTTTCCCAACTTGCAGTGTCAGCCTGCACTGGGCTTGCATGAAAACAAAGAAATATTTCACGCTGTGAGGGGCCCCATGTGGTCTGATGAAGTATTATGGCAGGTATTCTGGCATTCCCTGCGTCCTGGAGTCCTTGTGTTCCTTTCACTCCTGGGAGGTTTAGACATATTACCCATGGGAGGGTGGATTTTACCTTAGCTGTAGGTAGCTGGAGGTGAATCATGGGTTTCGCACACGGGAAGCACTGCCAGGCTCAGCCCAGCGCCCGCCCCACATGGCACTGGACAGCGCCGCCCTTCAACACTGACCTCTGTGTTCTTAAACCCCCAGCTTTCCTATGGGCGCCAACATCGCCCAATCAGCTGTCAGAACGTCACTCTGCCCGCCCCTTAACTCCACCCCCTTCCACCTGGATAAAGCTCAGGGCTTCTGTGCCTTCCCCAGGGCGCTTGCAGTCTACTGCAGCCCTCCTCTGCCCCAAATGAAGACCTTTTCCCTGTTTCCTTTCTCTGCTCTTGCTTTGCTACCACGCCGAGGAAGTACCTACCAGTAAGCAATCTAGGAGTTAGATTTATGTAACAGAGAACAAAGCAGCCTTTCCATAGGATTCTCAGTCTGTTGGAGTTGTGACCCACAGAGTGGTAACAAGCGTAGGGATCTCTCTCGTCCTCTTCACAGCCCAGAAAGTTCAGTTTTGTAATCCCTGGAAACGTTATTGGAATTCCAGTGCGTTAATTCCGGTTTACCACTTTCAGTGCAACCCATGGTGAGAATAAAGATTCGAAAACATATTTATACTTTTGGGGGCAAAAGCGTCCTGAGGCGGCAGCTGGTGACGCTTTATAAACAAAAGCCGTGACCCACAGCCTAACACAGATGTCAGCTGGTGCCCAAAGGAGTGGCTGGAGGATGAGTGACAGGGAGAACCGCAGGACGCGTGAGCGCTGGGAGCTGGGCTGTGCAGGAGGCCTGGAAGCCCGTCTGCACTGTGCAGAGAGATGGGGTGCAGAGAGGCCAGTCTGCATAGCACAGCTGAGGCAGCAGTTGGGGTTTAGGAGGCTGGGGATGCAAAGTTTCCTGCTCTGGGAAATCATTGCCTCTTGTCTGGAGGCTTGCACCCAGTTGAAGATCCTGTCGTGATTGTTCTCCGTCCTGCCAGGCTGGAGCATGGTTTTCTGGGATTCATGGGACAGAGAACCAGCAACCCCCGCCTGGTGTGAAAGATTACGCGTCAGCACCTCGGGTTTGCAGGAAGAAACCGGAAGTCAGTGCTGAAGGGAGGCGCTGTGCAGAGCCATGTGCGTGACCCTCTGAGACACTGTATATATCGCATCACATTCCTTTGTGGTTCCGCAGTCTCCTCCACCAGAAGACCAGGTCCTCACAGAGTTATGGGATGTTGCTGCTGAGGTTCTCCTACATCCTGGCTCTTCAGTGACCTCAGAAGGCTGCAGCCAAAATATTGGCTGTCCTCCTACCCCATTTGTCTCTTTAGTTTTGGTCCCCAAATCTCAGTTTTTGAAAATCCAGAAGAAGTGATTCTTAACATTTCAGTGTAATAGGGCAGTAAGGTTAACAGTACTATCTTATCTGAATATCAAGCCCCTTAGAACAGAAAATAAACTCTTCTTTCTTTCTTCTTCCTTTTTCTTCCTTTGATACTAGAGATCATATTCACGATCTCACATTTGCCCGGCTTGCACTTGTGCCACTGAGCTGAAGTCCCTGTGAGTATAGTTATTTCCATCAATCCTGGATATTCTAGTGCTTAAATCCCTGTAGAGTGTTAACAGTTTTGTATTTTTCACAGAAAGGTTGAAATCAAGACCATGCATAATATTGTAGCATGACAGCTGTGATACTTTGTAACAATTTGCATTTACATTTTGACATAAGATTCCCCTTTAGTTAATCATCCCTATCTAACCCTTGAGACGTATTTTACCTAACCTGCTGACCTTTAGTAGGATGTGCATCTCATAAGCTTCTGTTACAGGCAGTGGTCTGAATCTGAAACAGAACTGTGTCAGTCAATCTCTGTTTTACATTTTTGGAAGACCGGTACATGTGGAAGCATGCATATATTAATGCTCAATGAGGTTAACAACAATCTGTCATAGGCATATGAAATCTTTGTATCAGAGCATCTTAACATCAAAAATCTTGCTGTGTGGTTTCTTTTGGTGATGGCCAATGTGAACATATTACAATGATATACTTTTACAGTACATACACAAGGCCATGGAGATCATTGGGGCCTCCATTTAACGAGCAAGAACTGGTTAAATGTTCTCAGGCAGCTGCTTTCTTATTTATCTATTGAAGTTCTATCCAATAATCTCTTTCCACCCCAAGAGATTTTGTTTAATTATCTTTATAATTTTAATTTTTAAACGACTTATAAAAAACTCAATCACAACAT